ATGTTGGGTGCAGTCTCCCTCCTCCGTGCCTGGTGGGCAGAGGCCATTGGTGCTCTGCCCCGCAGCCAGCGGTTCAGCTGGGTTGGTTGGTGAGTCATCAGGCCCCAGAACAAAGGGGTAAGCCCAGATGCCAGCTCTTCTGCTGGGAGGAGGTCAGTAGAGGCCGTAGTTCCGTCTCCTGCGCCTGGACCATGGTTAAGAATAGGCAGTTGGAGATCTGGGTAGGCTTCCCAGCATCCCTGTAGGGCTGGTGCAGAGACCTTGGTCCCATCTGCACCATCCATGCTAGGGGGCTTGTCTCTGGACGACAGCCCCAGCTGCTGGGGAGTGGGACCGACCATCTTCACTCCCCGTAACATACACTGCCGCTGGGGAGAGAGACTGACAGTCCTCTTCTCCCAATAACACACGCTGCCGCTGGGGCGAGAGACCGTTTGTCTCCACTCCCTGCAACTCAGACTGCAACTGGGGATCGAGGACGATACTTTCCTCTCCCTGTAACTCTGTCTGCCACTGGAGAGTGAGACCGACTGTCTCCACTCCCAATAATATACTCTGCCGCTGGGGAGGAAGGGCGATACTCTTCTCTCCCTGGGTTGCACACTGCCGCTGGGGAGTGAGACTGGTTGCCTCCACTCCCTGTAACACCTCCATCTGGGGTTGGAGATCTGGGCCGACTGCCCAGCATCCCTGTAGGGCCGGTGGAGAGACCTCAGTCCCATCTCCACCTGCCAACTGGGGGTCTTCCCAGGACCAGTCGATAAGGTCTCTTATCTCTGGGTCTGGTTGGGAAGTAGGTGGTACAGCACCCAGGTCTCCTGATGACAGGCTTAGTTGCTGGGGAGGAGAGATGAAACTCAATGCTTCCTCTGGTATACAGTCCATAAGCCCCATCTTGTCAGAGACAGGCTGCGTTACTCGGTTAAATAGGCGAGCATAGTCCTGCTCGAGCTCCCACTCCAGGTTAGCCAGAAAAGTCAGATCCGGTTGCATTTCTTCTATCCACTTAAGGCCCAAGCTGCCTTCCCGCTCATCTCGAATGTACCAAAAGCAGGAACTGTCCTGGTCTCCGAATGCCATACTGTTACGAACACTGGTATATTAGATACCGTGTTCGCTTATTCCTCCCGAACTGCTGAGCCTGAATGATTATAGCTGCAGTTCGGGTGTAGATACGAATAGTTTCAGAGGAATGCAGCTTCCAAGTAGTTTCTCCCCAGGAAGTAGACAGGTACCCTTCATGAAGTCTAGGCTCATGTTTGGGTAAAACAGGAATCAATTTTAATGGTGCCACACTGGCTTTTATGTAAGTCCCCATGCAAGGGGCACTCCCACATGGACCTTGTGGGGGACAGGAACACAAAAGTTACAGCCAATAATATTACAGTGACAAAGATGAAGACTCCCAATGCAAACAGACAATCCTCTCCTCTCTGCCTGTGAGATAATTGACCTTAAAACACATAGTATCCCCATAACAGCCACATCCCCTGATAGCCCTGATCTGGGTGATTTTTGGATATGTTGGTTACCTAGATCAGGGCTATCAGGGGATGTGACTGTTATGGGGATACTATGTGTTTTAGAGTACGTTCCAAGTTTTGGGGAAAATATGTTTTTACTGCCTGGAGATAATTGAGTTAATAGTTAGCTGACTCAATTATCTCAGGGGTTTGCGAATTTTATGGAAGTCCCAGTTGACCGACCGCACACGAGGCTCCTGCCCAGAAACCGTTCCATGAGTTTAGGCTGTGTGGTCGGTCTATTTAGAAAAGTCATAATAATGAATAAATGCACGAACGGAGCCCCCTGGCTCATAGTAGCGATTGTTCCCCTGGTTTGTGGGAACCAAACTACTGAACTCTCCTGGATGTTTGGGAAAAGGAAGCAGGCGTTCGTATGGTTTGACCGGTGCTGGGGAAGTAGAGTGTCCGATTTTAGTTCCAGACACTCGACAACCAATTCCCGCTGACTCCTTTCGTGCAAACAAGATGGCCGCCGTTTTCTCTCTGTAGTTACAGCTACCAAACCAATAAAACATGAAAAGTCCTGAATGGCAATAAAAGTCTCGAATAACATGCTATTTTCTTCACACATACCATTATCAAACTCCTCCCATAGCAGACTAGGGCCATTGTAGTATTCCCCTGGGAAGCCTTTGTGCTCGACCAGCAACAGGTAAATGCCGACCGCATGAAACTGCAAGGCGCGGTATGATTCGTCCAACCACACCTCCTTCGTTACCATTGCCTCCAGTTCCATTACCCATTCATCCAAGGGCTGTTCTCCCAGGAACGGCATCCGCAACTTCAGTTGTTGCCCTTGGAACTGGACCGTGGTCAGGAGGAAGTCTCTCCGGAAGTCGGTTCAAAGCGCCACCCTACAGTCTGGTACACTCCTGGCTGGGATAGGGTCATCATTTGTAACGTTCACTAGAGAACCCTAACATGCAGACAAGACAGAGTAGAGAGAATTGAAATACCGATCCTTAGAATGGTCGGGTTATGCAAAAAGGGAAAGTCAAAACACAAGCCGAGGTCAAGGGAAACAGAGAGACGGAATAAAGAGAGACAAAGCCAAATATCAGTAACCAGGAAATCCAAATAACAAGTGCAACACTTAATGGTAGACCAAAGACCACAACAGGGCACTGATGCAAGGGAGGGGTTAGCTTATATACACACAGGGTGTGTCTGATTGGCTAACCTCCAATTAGTGTTAACCACAACATGTGGGAGGAGTTTCTTCCCTCCCTTGTGGTCTCTGAGGTCATCACTGTGTGCCGGGTCACATGACCGGGTGCATCACACATATAAGGAAGCTGCTCTGCAGCGTCAGACACACTGCCAGTCTGAAGACAGGGACCAGATGAAGCGCTCGCTGTGATAAGGTAAGCAAGGTCGCCGCGAGCGGCGTGGGGGCGGGGGACCTGACATAATTACTCCTCAGGACATCCAGGAACAGCTGCAGGAGTCTTGTATCAAAGGGGGGTCACATCCCCTGATAGCCCTGATCTGGTTGAACAACGTATCTAAAATCACCCAGATCAGAGCAGGGGTTCAGGAAATTCCTGGAAGTCTCTTTTTGACCGACCGCACGCATGGTTTCATGCCCAAAACAGTTCCAGAGAATTAGGCTGTGCGGCCGGTGTATTTTAAATAGTCAAAGTACTGTTCGAATTACCGAATGGAATGGTGAATGAGCACCGTCAATGTGTCTCCCTTGTTCGTGGGCTTCGACTCACCGAACGCCGTTCGAATAGTCGAAGTTCCCTGGAAGGTAACAGTTCAGCGGGGTTCATGCCGTCGCGTGTCCGATTTGATTTGAGTTCCATGAGCTCGACGACAAAACACAGTGGAACACATTCGACCAAATAAGATGGACGCCGCCACGTGTTTAAATGTCGAATGTCAGCCACTTCGACTGTATCCGAAGTGCCACTCGAAAGTTCGAAGAACCATTGTGCCAAGTCCCAAAAGGCACAAATAGTATTTTTAACCACAGTAAATTAAAGGGGACATAGTCACAGGGTAAAAGGCTAGTCCCCTCCAAGAACTCATGGCAAACTCACTTGAAAAGGGGAGTTTGTCACAGGTGCTTTTAAATATTTTATTCAATGTTATAAATTCCAGAGAAGTGACATTTCCTCTTTAAAATAAATTATAATTTATTATACAAAACAATGTGATACGTCAAGGATGAGCGGGCATACCACAGATTAAAGTAACACTAAAAACTTGTGTTTACTTATCACCCCTCCACATTAAATGCAAGCAAATCACTGACCACAACAATGTATAATTAAATTATTACCATATAACAGTCAGTATTGTGTCAGTACCTGGCAGTATAGAGCTACTAGAGAGATAAGGGAAGCCTGCCCCCCACCCTTACAGTGACAGAGAAAGATGAGCAGGGACACTTCACTGCCCAAACACAAAGAAATACATAAAAATCACTGTTTAGCATATATACCCCAAATTAAAAAAAATGCAACAGCTTGCAAATACTAAAGATCTATTAGCTGAAACTTTTGCAAGCTCTCCCCTTCTAAACAGTTCATCTTACCCCATTTATTTAAAGGGGGTGTTTAAACTGTCTATTTTGCTATCAATAAATATAAATAATCGCTAAAAAAATTCAGTCGATCCCTAGTGAATATGCTCGTACAAAACAAGGAATTTTATTTACTGACGTATTATTATTTATTACTTATAAACAACTTAAAGGGACACTATAGTCACCCAGACCACTTCAGCTCAATGAAGTGGTCTGGGTGCCAGGTCCCTCAGGTTTTAACCCTTCAGATGTAAGCATAGCAGTTTCAGAGAAACTGCCATGTTTACATTGCAGGGTTGATCCAGCCTCTAGTGGCTGTCTTCCTGACAGCCACTAGAGGCGCATCCAGCGTGCATTACGTCCATAGGAAAGCAGTGAGAAATGCTTTCCTATGGACTGTTTGAAAGCACGCGCGGCACTTGCCAAGGTCGGCAGGGGAGGAGAGGTCACCAGCGCCAAGAAAGCCGCTGGATTAAGGTAAGTAGCTGAAGGGGTTTTAGACCCTTCAGCATCAAGGGAGCGGGACCATCACGGTGGGGGCACCATTAGGGAACGATAGTGTCAGGAAAACTAGTTTGTTTTCATGACACAATAGTGATCCTTTAATTGTAGTTTAAAGACACATTACTGTATTATTGCTGCAGAGCTCTGTTATACAGTCTCAGAAACACCAAAAATATGGAGCTCCTGAAAAAGAGGGACATTCGGATACAAAATAGGGGCAGAGGGATTTGGACCCTAAATAGGGACACTTGGGAGACATGCCTGGTCAAAGTATTGACAAAATATGCCAGGACCCCAGTGGCAGTGCCTTATTGGATTTATGAGAATATAAAACATCCCTATGTAATGGTAAACAGGCTAAAATAACAAGCAGAAAATCCTATATAACCCCTACAAAGAGCCTCCTCCAGGTCAGCCATTCCCACACATTTAATACATGAAAGCCTAGAACACACTAGTTTCCCATCCCTTATGCAAGAGACATTCTATCTCGACTTTTCTCTCTATTATGTAAGTTGCGACGCTCTATCCGTATTTTAGTCTCGATGATACCGAAAGCAACATTCTATCCCATCACACGGTCCCCTCGCTTGGCGGCAGCAGGTCGCTATGGAGACGGTGCGGCGGATTGTAATTACGACGCTGACCCTGGGTGCTTTCGGTGGGGTCGGAGGTGTATTGTGGCTCCTGGTAGCCCCAGGAGAGAAGCGCAGGTTAGAGATGAGCAAGGTACGGGTTATGTTGTGTAACAGGCTGTTGTGAGCCTGGCGGACATGTTGTATCACGGCAGAGGTCGCTGATGTCATTCGGGATTCATTCTATAAGAATACTCCTAGTAATTTAAAGATAAAGAATAAATCTGCTTTGATGATAAATGTTCATTGACTGTGCTTTGCACGGAGAGAATTGCACGTCTTTTAGACTTTGTCAAGCTGCCTTAAACACGTGTTGTGAGAAACGCCGTTTTGAAGTAGTTATGGTGCTAGGAGAACCCTGGTGCCCCTTCCCCTTATTAAAAGCAGTCAGACTGTTTATTACTACTTTATGGAACTGGAAAGAAGTGAAACCGTTTGACTACTTGCATTGGGGACTCACTGTAGTGATTATGGTGCTTGAAGCGTTCCTTAAATTATTTTTAGCAAGTAAATTTTTTGAAATTGACCCATACAGTGTTATTCACTCTGTGGTGGTATGTCTCATGTAAATTTCACTGTTTAGGACAGACTAGTTGAACTGGAAAATAACTTGTCAGCAATGTACTTATTTATTCTAAATTCCAGCTATTTAAGTATAAACATTTATATTCTTTTGAGTAGGCAATCCATTGTAGAACGATTTGACCTCTTACCTGTTTACCTGAGGTTATAAACAACTTAAAGGGACACTATAGTCACCCAGACCACTTCAGCTCAATGAAGTGGTCTGGGTGCCAGGTCCCTCAGGTTTTAACCCTTCAGATGTAAACATAGCAGTTTCTGAGGTCTGCTAAAGTGACACTCCAGTGCCAGGAAAACAAACCGTTTTCCCGGCACTGAGGTACCCTCTCCCTCCCACCATCCATCCCATGTTGCTGAAGGGGTGAAAACCCCTTCAGTGACTTACGTGAGATCCCCGCCGATGTCACTCGGCGGCGGTTTTGGGTCCGTCCACACTACTCCCCTGCTGACGTCATCCAGCGGGGGAGACCGATCGCGCATGCGCAGCGGCCGACGGGGGAGTGACGCTGTAGCACAGAAAACCTGTGTTAGAAACCAGGAAGTGCTGTCTAGTAGAAAGCCACTAGAGGAGGCGTTAACCCTGCAATGTAATTATTGCAGTTTATGAAAACTGCAATATTTACAGCTGCAGGGTTAAGGGTAGTGGGAGTTGGCACCCAGACCACTCCAATGGGCAGAAGTGATCTGGGTGCCTGGAGTGTCCCTTAAGGACTGCTCCTCAACCCCCTACTAATTTTGGCATGAACTTAATTCCTGAAAGCCAGAAATGTTGTCCAATGGATGCCAGATATGAAGTCAAACCATCTTAAAATCAAAATGCATTTTGTAATTGTTAGGAATTCTCTGATAGGTAGAGTACCATGCACTCAACTTATTACATATTTTATTGAAAAAGCAGTATTCTAACAGAGCCTCGTAAGGCTAGTTAAACAAATCCTGACACTACTTTTGACACTTGAGGATAAGCCGTGAGAAATAAACAATTGCTTGTAGGCATCACGGATAGCGGATTCACATAACTCTGCATGGTTAACTAGGTGGTAGCTTTACCAGTAGCAAGCGATGTCTTGACAGTGATATATATATCTATCTATCTATCTATCTACCGTATATACTCGAGTATAAGCCGACCCGAATATAAGCCGAGGCCCCTAATTTTACCCCAAAAAACTGGGAAAACGTATTGACTCGAGTATAAGACTAGGGTGGGAAATGCAGCAGCTACTGGTAAATTTCTAAATAAAATTAGATCCTAAAAAAATTATATTAATTGAATATTTATTTACAGTGTGTGTATATGATGAATGCAGTGTGTGTATGAGTGCAGTGTTTGTGTATGAGTGCGCAGTGTGTGTGTGTATGAATGCAGTGTGTGTGATGCAGTGTGTGTGCATAAATGCAGTGTGTGTATGAGTGCGCAGTGTGTGTGTGTGTGATGCAGTGTGTGTTTGTGTGGCAGAGCCTTGGTGGGGGGGTGGGCATTTTTATAAAAAATAAAAAAAATTATTATATATTATCAATTTATTTATTTTGTTGTCCCCCCTCCCTGCTTGATACATGGCAGGGAGGGGGGCTCTCCTTCCCTGGTGGTCCAGTGGCATTGGCAGTTCAGTGGGGGGAGGGGGGGGGCTGGCAGAGCTGTTACTTGCCTTCCTGCAGCTCCTGTCAGCTCCCTCCTCCTCCGCGCCGGTCCGTGCAGCTCTTCTGGAAGCTCACACTGTAAGTCTCGCGAGAGCCACGCTATGACCCCGCGGCTCTCGCAAGACTTACACTGGGAGCTGACCGAGGTGCTGACCGGACCGGCGCGGAGGAGGAGATAGCTGACAGGAGCTGCAGGAGAGGTAAGTAACAGCTCTGCCAGCCCCCAGTCTATATTATGGCAATGTAAATTGCCATAATACAGACTGACTCGAGTATAAGCCGAGTTGGGGTTTTTCAGCACAAAAAATGTGCTGAAAAACTCGGCTTATACTCGAGTATATACGGTATATCTCTATCAATGAGATGGTCCCTATAATTGGTTCAAATTATAAGAGTTACTGCTGTGAATAGCTTTCATGTAAGGATAGGGACAGTGGTGTATCCTGGTTTTGTGCTGCCCTAGGCATAACGAAAATCAGGCACCCCCCCCGCACCCTTCCCCCCTGCCCCGCCTTCTAAATACACACACATTCACCGACAGACACGCATACACTAGCAAACAGACATACACACTCACTAACAGACACACATTCACTAACAGACATGCATACACTCTCACTAACAGACACACACATAGTAACACACTCCCTGACAGACACACACACTCACTCACTGACACACACTAACACAGACACACTCACTCACTAACACACACACACTAACAGACACACACTCACTCACATTAACACTCACTTTTGTTTTTAAATTCAACCCCCCCAGCCTCCTTACCTTTGGGAATGCTGGGGGGTTCTTCCTTTCCCTGGGGGTCCGGTGGCTGCTGGGCGGGCTAATGGGTGGGCTGGCTAGGTGCTGGTCGGGCGGCGCTGGCGAGGGAGCACTTTCCTCTGAACTCTCTGCTCAGCTCCCTCGCGCGCCGCAGAGTGAGGCTGGTGAGACCCGGAATATGATGTCATATTCCGGCTCCCAGCCTCACTCTGCGGCGCGTGAGGATGCTGAGCAGAGAGCTCAGAGGAAAGTGCTCCAGCGCCGCCCGATCGGCTTGTCAGTTAGCCGCGAGGCTAACGACATTTGCCCTGGGCATTTGGGGGCGACTTTTTTTGCCGCCCCCCTGGGAAAATGCCGCCCAAGGCAAATGCCTTGTTTGCCTCGCGGCTAATACGTCCCTGGATAGGGAGCATATGTTGGGATAGACTCAGCTCACTGGAGCAGCATAATAAAAATGAACAAGAGACATGTAAAAACATATCGAGATGCATTGTGTTAATTATAAAATTGTCTCAGACCTTTGGTGGGCCAATGAGACTAGCCATGAAAGTGCATGTGACTCGTGAAGGTTGGCAACAATAAATGGGCCCTGGTAGCTTCTATTATGAATATTGCAGTAAGAGCGATGTAGTAAGATGCTGACAGTGCGTCTTTATGGTAGCTTTAAATAGCAAGCGCTCCTGATGTGTAACTATGCGCCAAATAGAAAATAAACAGAAGCTTAGCCACTGTGTTATTGGAGGCCAATCAAATATGATTTAAAATATATATTTTAACAGGAAAGATACATTGAGATTTTGCTCGTTTTCAAGTATGTCCTGGGTCCACAAAATATGAAGAGGTAGCCATGAGTTAAAGTGCACAGTGGTGATCTAGCATATATGGTCACCGCTGGGTTGTCTCATGTAAAACTAGGCAAACTGTTATTCCACCTATCGTGGGATGGCAACAATAAGTTAATAAATTAAATCATAGTGTGTTACTAAGTCCAGGGAAATAAATAGTTTTCCTTGTTACGTCAGAGCTGAAGCAACCAAGGACTAACCACTACATACATTCTAGGTTCACAGCAGAGGAACATTTTGTAATAGCTTCTAGCAGGAGTTATAATGCGTCTGCTACAGTGGCATATAACTTTAGTTAACTTTGTATTAATAAAACCGGTAATCATAAATAACATACGGCAGATGTTAATTGATACAGGGGGTCTGATTACATATTTTTTGCAAATGGCCATATAGTTCTTGTTGTAAGTGGTCCCATTCTCTTTTGCCATATTCATGCACATTTCTCATGTCTTTATTCTGTTTTGTGTAGTTTATAAATGATCCACGTTGAATGCATTAGTGGTTCTGGCTCTATAAAGAAATACTCCAAGCACCATAACTACATATGGGTGTAATGGTTATGGTGCCAAGAATGCCATGGAACCCTCACAGGATACGTAGTAAAACCATTTGACAACGTACCAAGGGTGTGCCAGACACTGGTTGCCTATTACCATGGATTTGGAAGGAGCTGTATTGTGCTTCAGTTAGCTCCCCTCAGCAGAACCTTGCAGTGCAGGTATGGCTCATTGTCTGATCACTCTCAGAGTGCTAAGCTGTGCACAACCTGGTGTAGCTGAGAACTGCTTACTATAAAGGTAGGCAGTGAGTGGTGCCCACAAGTTAAGAATTCATACTGTTCAGAAATAGTTTAACTACTTACATTGGGGTGAGTAAGTAGTGCGCACCACGGAATTCCTAGCACCATAAAAACTACAGCAGTTTATTGTGGTCATAGTGCTTGGAATTGCATGACATTGCAACTTGTTTTTCAGGGTTCTTTGGAATGATCAATCTAAATAGTTAATAAATTAATAGTTGTAAATAGTATACACAGTAAAAAGAAGGAAACTTTTTAAATGTGACTCTGCTGAAAGTACATTTTCTTTTCTCATTTCAAGAATTATCCAGAAGCGAATCCAGCAACTTTGGCCGAGGTGCGGAAACGAAATGAATTGGTACTTCAAGTTATTAAAGAAGCAGCTGAAACAAATGAGAATGTGTCAAGGAAGTCACCATGGAAATAATGAATGCTGGCAATAGATAACTGTAAAACGTTTCCTATTTCTGTGGATAGTTTTCAAGGCATTGACTGACTAAAAGCGAATATTTTAAGCATAAAAGTTTGCCCATTTAACGACTGTGAAATGCGCCTTCTTAAATACAATGCAGTCATATCTGATACCCTGGGTTTCCTTTATGTTGGGTGGTAGAGTGTTTCACCTTCCTAATTTTCTTAACATTTGTAAATACATTACCAATAGGAAGTTACTGTGTTTGCGAATACTTTATTGAGATTATTTGCATTCTTACATGTATGATTTTGTGGACGTTACAAATTATGACTGCAATTCAAACCTATGTTCAAAGGCTAACTAAAGATCTTTTATCTTTGCAACACAGTTATTTCAATTAAAAAAGAAGCCGTCTGTCTATATAAAAACTTCATGCACACATTATTACTGTTACTTGTTTGTTTCACTATACTCTAAAGCTAATGTATGAAAGAGGTTTATGCAGCAGGGAAATCGCTGGCGGCATTCAGTCCTTTGGGACTTGTCTTGTAGTTCTTAAGGAATTGTCTTGTAGTCCCGAGTTACAGGTTTTGTTAGGTTTAGCCTATATTTGCAAAATAGAATTTTGGTGAGTTGCTAAATTTAGACTTCTGCATGGTACAATTCTTTGTTTCTTACAATTTTAAAGTTTTCAGAATTGAAAACGTTGTAAAGGACGTGTCAGGCTCTGCAATGTGCCGATTTGGCTGAATTTCAGTTCTTGAAACCAATTTGGCCAGTGCAAGGGTTAATCATATGACCGCTAAATAGCATGCAGCCAATGGCCCACTCGCTAGTTATGTACACCCCTGCCCTACCTCTACCTGTGGGCATTGGTTGGGGTCTTCATTTTAAAGAACAAGGGGTCACTGGAAGGTCATTGTCTAGTCCCCCTTCTTATGTTCCCAAGACGCCGTACACATTTCACTTTGCTAAGGGCTTTCCTCAGGAAAAAATAACTGCAACTGTTATGCATATCTCTCTTAAAATAGTCTTTTGATGATAGCTACTCAGCATCCTGGTTAATTAATTCCACACCTGCTTTACATGCTCTAATCTGTGGCTTTTTGTGGCACTTCCAAAGGGCACCTGCAGTGGAGGGTCCGAGTTCTCAACCCAAAATGAATCTGGTCTGGACTTAAAATGTACACATAAACAGGGTAATTGGGGTGCACACACAGAACATGCGTTTTTTAATAGGGGTGTTGCCATACAGATCCAAAATATATGTATATGAAGGCAACAGAGTACAAATAATATACAGTTTTACATAAGCACCACTATTGAAAAATCCCCACCCCCAATTCCCTATCTTTTTGTGTTTATTTGGAGTTAAGACCAGAATACTTTTGATCACTCCAGCTTTAAAAAAATTTGTTACATGTAAACAAATGTTTTTTTTTTAAATTATGTATATTGATTTTGTTGAGGAAAAAAGAAAACCAGTTTTTTTTTTTTCTTTCTTTCAATCTGGCTGAGCAGCCAGGTTGGGTCAGACTCTGTTACCTGCTGCTCATCCTTACTTTCCTACTGCTGCAGTTACATACAGGGCAATCATAGCAGCAGATAAGTTAGGTTAAGCAGCAGTTGATCAACAGTAGAGTGTGACCCAACATGGCTGCTTAGCGAGATATAAAAGTGATTTGTAAAAAATTTTATATTCGTCGTTTAAAAAAAAAATAAAAAAAATAAATCATGTTTCATTAAAGGTAATGTTTCAAAACAAGAACTATAAATAAATTGTAAGTTTGTATGAGCAGGGCCTTCTTAAACTCTTGTCTCTGTAAATAATTTGTATATCAATTATTTCTTCTGAAAAATCAAGTGCTACATAATATGTTGGTGCTATATAAATGGTAATAATAACTACCATGAAAAAGAAAGGGGGATTGAATGAATAAAAAGAAATTACAAAACAACATCATCACTTTTCACCTAAAATATATGGTTAGAGGGCAGTTGACGAGTGAGAGACTGTTCTCAGAAAAAAGAGGATAAAGTAAAAGACAAATAGTGACTATAATTAGGAGGAGCAATAAGGAACATCAGGGGTGTATGTAACAACAACCCTCACCCTGTTAGGTCCAATTTGCCCAACCGCTCCCCCAGGACAGGCACTACACCTGTCTATGCACCATGCCCAAAAATCAATCCAGTGAAAATATGTAATTACATATTGCAAGTAGCTCCTCGGCCATGCAAAATGTTCTCAGCCATGGTGGATCCACAGTGCTGTGCCATAAAGTGAAGCTTAGGCCACTTTAATTGAATGTGCTATGCAGGATTCTTGGTAGGCCTATAATTGGATAGTGGTATGGTGTGGAACAGTGACTTCCAAACATTTTTGGACCAAGACCCACTTCAATAACAGCATTTCCAAGGCACAACTGTATTTTTTTTTTTCTTTGTATCTTCTTCCGCAGCTTACAAATGTTAAATTTGCATATAGCCTACCTAGAGAATTGTTTTCTCCTAGCAAAATGTTCACATTAGTATTAAAAATATATTCACGTGGAAATCCAAATTTTAAAGCTGACACTTTATTAAACAAACAGTTTTAAGCATTACGTTCAAACTGCTACAGCCCTGAGGTCTATGTGCTTGCACTGGATTAGGGTGCTCTTGTTGAAAACCAGTGCCCTCAAAGTAACATAGCGTGTGCAAATTGGATAAGAGTTGATAACTTTTTTTTTTTTTCTTTATTTTATTGCGCATAAAATATTACAGGACATGGATGACAGACGCCACATTAGTATAACAATCAATATTCCAGGATATGCAGGCATCAGAATCTGCGCATTTTTTCTTTTTCACAATTTTAACATAAAGTAAAGTAACAGAATGTAATTCTAGAGAATCTAGTCAGTGAGCATAATACAAATTTGGTCAGAAGGCAGAGGCGGACTGATAACCCTCAGGGCCCCCGGGCAAAATAAATCAAGGGCCCCCTTACAGGCCCCACCCATACTCTGCAGCAAGCGCCACCCTTGTCCCGCCTCCATGCACCGCCTCCAGCCACACCCTACACAATCTTTAGATACAAGGAACAAAAGGGCAATAAGCCCTTCGAGGCCCCAGTAGAGACTACAATTGAGGGCTAATGGGCCATGGAGGGGGTCTTTCTAGCGGAGGCTATCTCAGTGTCCTTTAGAGAGTGTGTTAGAAAGAATCCCCTCCAAGCCCCATTAGAGACTACAATGGAGTCTAAAAGGCTTGGAAGGGGGTCTTTCTAACAGAGGCCATCTCGGCGTCCATTAGATATCCCCTGCTGGAAACAGTCGCCTCCAGGCCCCAGTAGAAACTACAATTGAGGGCTAATGGGCCATGGAGGGGATTTCTAGCAGAGGCCAGAGTCTAATGGGGCCTGGAGGGTGGTCTCTCCAACACTCTGGTTCCTATTCACAATATAGCAACACAACATAGCTCGCTGATACCTAAGCCAAGTTGGCTCCTCTTACCTTAATTACTGTTGCTGGCTGGCAGTCTGTGGGCTTGCTGGCTACTGCCGGCAGGCTGTGGGCTTGCTGGCTACTGCCGGCAGGCTGTGGGCTTGCTGGCTACTGCCGGCAGGCTGTGGCTTGCTGGCTGCGACTGGCAGGCTGTGGGCTTGCTGGCTGTAAGCCTGTGGCTTGCTGTAGGCCTGTGGGCTGGCTACTGGCCTGTGGGCTGGCTAACTGGCTGGCTACTGGCCAGCCTGTGGGTTGGCTGGCTGGCTACTGGGGCACTTGTAGATTATTTAAAGAAATAATCCATGCACAATAACCACTACTGCTCCAGAGTAAGTAGTCAAACCATTTAAGAACAGTTTGACAACTTACCTGGGATCTGCTGGGATATGAGGCTGTAGTAGGGAATAGGAGCAGTGGTGCAATGTGTGTGAAAGGTTCAGTGTGTGTGTGGGGGTGTAGTGTGTGAATGTGTAGGGTGTGTGGGCGGTGTATGTGTGTGGCAATGTTAGTATGGGGGGCTGTGTATGGGGGTCTGTGTGTATATGGGTGGGCAGTGTATGTGTGTGTGTGGGGCAATGTGTGTAAATGTGTATGGTGTGTATGGGGGCAGTGTGTGAATGTGTATGGTGTGTGTGTGGGGGCAGTGTGTTTATGGGGCTAGAGTTCACTCTCACCACTGCGACCACCAGGAATCCATGGGGGTTACAGTGTTGAGAGTGAACTCTAGCCCGTAGCTCCAGGGCTAGAGTTGACTCTCGCAAGAGCAGTAACGTTGCCATGGTAACCGCGGCAACGCTCTGTGCTCGCGCAAGAAGGACCCAGAGGAGCTGCAGGGTGAGCTCCCAGGTCCTCTCTTCCTCCCCTGCCCGCACGGTGCCTGCGGACAGGGGAGGGAGGGCATTCTTCCCTCTCTTTCTCCCCCCTCCCCCAACTCTCTATTCCCCCTCTTTCTCCCCGTGTCTCATTCTTCCCTCTCTGTCTCTTTCTCCCCCTCCCCATCTCTCTATTCCCCCTCTTTCTCCCGTGTCTCATTCTTCCCTCTCTGTCTCCCCCCTCCCCATCTCTCTATTCCCCCGCTTTCTCCCTCTGTGTCTCATTCTTCCCTCTTTCTCCCCCATCCCCATCTCTCTATTCCCCTCTTTCTCCCCCTGTGTCTCATTCTTCCCTCTCTGTCTC